ATATATATATATATATATTTGCGCCACAAGGTTTCACAGCGAGGGTAAAGTGCTCACTAACAAAAGCGATTCCACGAACTCGAAACATTCAATTTATGGTTGACGGAGTACTTACCACTCCATCACAAACCCTGGTTGGTTATACATATATCTATATACATATTCACGTATATATAGAATGCCGGTACGGACATAAGAGAATAGGGGACTCATCTGAGAGAAATTCAAAAATAGCCAGATTTACAAGTGGTCGTTCAAAAATAGCCCAGTTTCAAAAGTAATCGAAATTTAGTCACTTTTCATGTAAAGATAAATCTGAGCGAAAACACTGTTTAAAACCCGAAAAATACGCCAGTATATTATGCTGGAGTTTCAGCATAAGTATACTTGATCTCCAACATATTTTACTGGAGTTCCAGGATAAGTATGCTGGAACTCCAGCATAATATGATGGAGTTCCAGCATAAGTACACTAGAACTCCAGCATAATATACTGGAGTTCCAGCAAAGTATAATGGTCCAGTATAATATGCTGGAAGTTCATACACAAGTGCTCAAATCTCCAGTATATTATGCTGGAACTTTCCGTATGTTGGAGTTCCAGCATAATATGCTGGAAGTTCATACACAGGTGCACCGAACTCCAGTATATTATGCTGGACCGGTCTCTGTTGCAGCAAAATAGTGGCTATTTTTCATTGACTTGGTAAACGCTGGCTATTTTTGAATGACCAATTTGAAAACTGGCTAGACCGTGCTATTTTAACGACTCATCTCCCAAGCCCCCATAGTCGAAAATAAATAATTATATGATCTATAAAATTATGAATTTATAACTATTTCTTGTGACACTTATGTATCTCTATTCTCGTTTTGTACATAATAGAGATTTATTTCATACTCCATTATTATAAGTTTTGAGTAACTTACTCATTTTTCAACAAAAGTTTGATCAACTAGGTTGTTGGATAACAACATGGAAAAACAATAAAAATACTTTTAAAATAGCTTAATAATTATGTCGAAAGAAGCGTATCACAATGCTTCAGATGATATAATTATGTTTTGTGCATAAAGTTCATCTCTAAATACTTATTGTTTCTTTAGAGGGAAATTACCATCTATGTTCATTTATAAGTAGCTCATTACAAAAATTGGCCAATTGACAAAATATTACTAATATTAGCCAAATTAGTCAATTAGCTATTTGTAGCAAAAAAAATATCAATTTTTTGCTTTGTTTTGAGTGGGTGTTATTAGAATAGATTGGGCACAACTTAAGGAGCTTGAATCTCAGTTTTGGGATGATTTGGCGAAGTTTTGAGGTGGTTTGAATTGAAAATTCGAAGTAAATGCTTAACATGAAAAAATGATATGTGTTTCACACTGTGTATCATTTGTGTATCATATTTGTATCAATTGTGTATCACATGTATATCCATGTATGCCTGTGTGTGAGATACATGTGTCGCAGAAGACTGTTTTGAACTCGATTTAATTACGAATTTTGATACAAAACCAGTCCAAATCACCTCCAATCTTCCTCAAATTTTGTATATTGACTTATCTATATATTTTCAATGAATTTCAACTATACCCATTGAAAAATTTCTTTTTTTGTTTAGATTTTTGGAATATTTTATAGATTTTTGTATTTCATCACCATATTTGCTACCCCGTCCATGAAATTTCCTTTCCGTCTTGTATCTAATGTTGCTAATCACGCTTAAAAATATGGAAAGTAATTTTTGCATGTGATTCTTTGAGAGAAAGAATCCTATTATTTGGTTTTTCAATTTTTGTTGGCTAGTTTTGATAAGTCTATGACTAATGGCTAGAGGTTGGTAAGTTTAGATTTATTTGGGACATTTGTGTAAGTTTCCTTTCTTTAGATTCTTCACGTCCAACGGGAAAAGTTGGTCAAATTATGGAGCAATGAGTTAGGTTACTCAAGAATTTCAAATCATTTGTCATGCGTGCGTGGTATGTTCAACATAAAATGGCCTACAGATCTGCCTTTACACCTCAAGATGAGATGAAAAAAGGGCAAGATAAGGTAACTGCTGCCTTAGAAGAGAAGTTAATATAATCCAGACAACCACCAGATATGTTGGCCCTACGTGCAGATTGAAATCTTTGAATAGCTAGTTTGAGGTAAGGATACATTTTAACGATAACAACATATGTGAAGACATGTATCGTGTATTCATTGATTTGTTGTGAACACCGTATGCGGGTAAGTTTTACCGGATGTAACAATCCAACAAGAACAACTTGATTCTCAGCAAAGACAGTTCAACCTCAGAGTCATAACAATACCCCTGTATGAAGTCAAACTATTAGTTTTAATTTAAAATAAATGCTTATTAAATCCTTTTACATATATAAAAGATTATCAACTCAGAGCCATAAAGAAGTGCCATATGATAATACCAAGTGAAATTTTAAGTTTTAGAAGAAACTAAATAAGATTATGGTTAAAAAAACAAATATTACATGCGACTGTAGAGAAATGTGGCCCATGAATGGAATTTATGAATCGATTTGCATAGAAAAGTAAAAAAGACCTTTTAGGTTTTGATAAGATGACTTCAAAATGCATGGGTTACTCTTACTTTTACTCAACTTACAAAAGTAGGTTGCATCACTGCCAACTCAAAAGTTAGAAACACCACATGTGCACCCAAATCTTGATAACAAAATTAGTCAGCAATGAGATTAGTTTACTGTAATTGACCTGACAACTAAAAGAAAGACATTTTCAAAACCTATGCAGCAATAATAAGACAGATTAAAACTATGAGAGACCAGGGTTTAATTCCAGCAAAAACTAAAAACCTAGGTGATTTCTTCTCATCTACCTTAGTTCTGGTGAGTAGCACTACTTAGTACTTGTGTTGATGGGAAGTCCCACTCGCAGGTACCAGCCGAATGAATAGTTGAGGTGCCCAAAAACTGATCTGGACACTACCGTGAGAGGGAGATTAATGGACACAAAGCAAAAGGGAAAAACAAAGAAAAGAAAGGAGAGGTTGAACATGCAGTGCACTTTGATTTTCGAATATTTCAAATTCTGACAACCTTTTCTTCTTGGTACAAAAGAAAATTCTAAAAAAGCACATGCATTGTCTTTTATGGTTGTTTGTGGTGACCCATAGGTGACTCATGCAACAATTAGTTAAAAGATTCATAAACTTATCCCCAAACCCCTATATATAATGATACAAGAATGTTCTTAAACCATCAACCAAAACTAAAAATATTTCTCACTGACCATCACAATTCACAATACAACAATATTCTACTGCAGAATCAGAATCACAATGAAGAACTTACTCAGTGGAAATGTGGTGAATATTCCAACGAATTCAGCTGTATGCTCATTTGAAAAGCAGCCAAAAAGACTATTATCCCTATCTCCTTGCCAAGACCATATTCCATCTGCAACTTCAAAGATATTATCTAAATTAAAGCAAAGTGAGTATTTTCGCTGTCTCTTGACGAAGAATAATCAACTTGTTCTTGTACTAGTACGGAGTATTAATGATCCTTGAATGAAGAAATCATAAAGATGAAAATATTCTTGTATATGCAGGAAAATCTGTGATTGGTAAGATGACCAAACTGGGAGAAAGGATGGACAGTCTTGCACAAGGCATTCGCGAACATGGTAAGCACTTATATAGTTATATTTTT